TAGCATGATATAGTTCAATTAGAGGATGAATATAAATTTTCACCTCATTGCATGATTTTTGCATAAATTCCCTACAGTTATGTTCTGACTTGTCTTAACTTGCCTGGGGATCCAGGTCAATTCCCAGCTCTGCCAAGGGTCACTCTTGAGAAAAAAGGCAGGAAAAGCCTCTGAGCTCTGCCAGATATGGCTCCCGCCCTCTCTCCCTCCAAGAAGAGGGCTGACATAATAATATATGTCTGGATAGTATATTATATCTGCACCTACAAAGACCGTGGCATTTCTATGAGAAAATAATGAAACAAAAGAAAGAAAAAAATTTTAAAAAGTTAATCTCATTCACTAATGTGCACCAGAAAATCAAGTACCTAGGAATCAACTAACTAAAAAGATGAAAGACCTATACAAAGAAAATTAAAACAACACTACTTAAAGAAGTAAAGGAGGACATCCCCTAATCATGGATTGGGAGGATTAATATCATCAGAAGGGCAATATTCTCTAAAGCATTATACAGATTCAGTGCACTCCTGATAACACCAATGATATTTTTCAAAGAAATAAAACAAACATTCCTGAAATTGATATAGGAAAATACCACTCCATACTACCTCCATCCCAGAAAAGTGAAAAAACATCCTCAGGGAAAAAAGGATATGGAAGGCATCACTTTATCCTACTTCAAACAACTATGCTACAAAGCAGTAGTGGTGAAAACAGTGTGGCACAGGAATAAGGACAAACTCTCAAATCAATGAAATAAAATAAAAAAAATCTAGACAGGTACTCAGCTATACAAACAGCTAATCTTTGATAAAGGAACAAAAAATATGAAGTGAATCAAGGAAAGTCTCTTCAACAAATAGAGAAAACTGGTCAGTTATTGGAAAAACAAAACAAAACAAGGTTTATTCATAGGGAGCCTTTAGAGTTTTCTATGCACACTATCATCTCATCTACATATAGTAAAAATACAGCATCTTCTCCAATTTGAATTTCTTTGATTTCCTTTTCCTGACTAAGTGCTGTGCCAAGACTTCCAAAACTGTATTGCATAATAGCGGAGAAAACAGACATCCTTATCTTGTGACTGATTTCCGAAGGAAGGGTTTCAGATTTTTTGCTGCCAATTATGAGACACACTGTGGTTTGTTATAAATGACTGCTACTATCTTAAGGCATATTCTTTCTACCCCTCTGTTACTGAGAATTTTTATCATGAAATGATGTTCAAAATCCTTTCCTATGTTTGATATAACTGATACAACGGGTATATATCAGCTTTTTTTCTGTGTCTGATATAACTTATATAACATTTTCTTTTCTTTTGTTGATAATGGTGTGTGACATTAATTGATTTGCCCATATTAAGCCATCCTTGCATCACTGGACTGAATCCCTCTTGATCATGATGCATGATCCTTTTGATAAATTGGTAGATTCAGTTCACTAAAATTTTATTGACAATCACTGGGTTTGTAATTTGTAATTTGTAATGGGTTTGTAATTTTTTTGTTTGCTTGTTTGTTTTTGGGTCATACTGGCTGGAGCCATAGCACAGCGGTAGGGCGTTTGCCTTGCACGCAGCCAACATGGCCGACCCGAGTTTGATTCCTCCGCCCCACTTGGAGAGCCCGGCAAGCTACCGAGAGTATTCGATATGCCAGACACAGTAACAACAAAGTCTCCAATGGAGACGTTACTGGGCCTGCTCGAGCAAATTGAATAACGGGAGGGCCTTTACCTTTACCTTTACTGGCGTTACTCAGTGTTGATTCCTGGATCTGCACTCAGGAGTTATCCCAAGTGCTCCAGGGACCAAACCTGGGTCAGCTGCATGCAAGGCAAGAGTCTTACCAGCTATACTATTATTCTGCCCCGCATCCATAATTTAATTGAATTTAATTTTTCTTTTCTTTTCTTTTTTTTTTTTGCTTTTTAGGTTCACACCCAGTGATACACAGGGGTTACTTCTGGCTCTGTACTCAGGAATTGCTCCTGGCGGGTGCTCAGGAGACCACATGGAATGCTGGGAATCAAACCCGGGTTGGCTGTGTGACAGGCAAACGCCCTATCCCGCTGTGCTATCACTCCAGCCGCCCCCCATAATTTAATTTTTAAAAAAGTAATATCTGTCTTCCTTTGTCATTAGGATAATATTCTCACAGAGACAGCTAGGAAGGATACTTGTTTCTTCTATGTTTTAGAAGAGCTTGAGGAACTGCTGTGTCTGTCAGTTGATGCGGAATCAATGTCTACCTGACTTGGTCAGTGACAGGAGATTGTGGTCACTGGTACCCAATAACAGCTGTTCAGTAAACTGGTCTTGGTGGATATAAAAAGAATTTCTCATTTCCCAGAATCTTTAGGGATGCCTGCTCTGAACCATGGCCTGATGGGTGGGGTTCACCCTCAGGGTGTCTGGACAAGCTACAGCATCTGAGATGGTAGCTCCCAGTAGTGGTGGGGGATCAACTACGCCCTGGATTTGCTGAGTCCTGCCAGTTCCCACTCCCTTTCTGGCTAGAGGAACAAAACTGAACCTTATTGCATCTTGTGCCCTCTTTGAGGCAGTTTCCTCTTGCTTTGAGCTGGCTTCGGCTATTAATTTGTTAAACTGTGTGGCAGCTGGAACCTGAAGGGAGGGGCTGTCAGGGTGGAACAGAGACCAGGAGCATGTTGGGTCAAGACCAAAAGCCTGAGGAGTGGAGCCATGCATGCAACCTCTGCTGGGCAAAACAGCTGAGGTTTAGATTTTGCGGGTGCTGCTCATCTTCAGTGTAGCTATTTCCAGCCGGACAAGCTGTGGCTGCACCACCTTTGTTAGGTTTATCAAGCCCTGAGACTCTATGGCCTGTGAGTTCCAGTATTAGACAGAATTTTGTGAAAAGTCTAGACATTCAGCAGTCATCTGTCGGCTGGGGCAGGGCTCAGTTTGCATTCCTGTGGAGCATCTCTTTGGCATAACTGCACCTAGTTTGTGGCAGGAGTAGCGGCCCTCTGTGCTGTGCTTGCCAAAAGCAGAGTCTGTTTTCAAAGTAGCAGTACAGCTCTAAAACTGATGTTTGGTAGGTCCATTGCTCTCAGCTCCTTCCTCCACTAGGCTGGTGTTGTCTCTCTAGAGCATGTTTGCAGGGCTCCTCTCCCCTCGGGCAGGGGAAGTGCTCCTTAACACTGGACTTGTCTGCAGTTCTGTCTCCCAAAGTGCTGAGTTTCCCTGAGATGGTGACTATTTCCCCCAGTGAATTCTCACAGTGCGACCCCATGAAGGATTCCATGCTCTGTTCAGCTTTTTAGGCATTCTTGGTGTTGATGCCACAGGAGCTCTCTCAAAAGTGTTTCTTTTTGGTCATCTTGGTCTCACCCTCCTCCTCAATGAACCATTATTTTGAAACACCTTGTGAAATTATTACCAAGTGTAGTAGGGCGACTAAAAGGTCCCTGAGCTGCTCTAAGAAAGTTAGGATACAAAGAATAACTTAGTAGACTCAAAGTTTGAGAAAGTACTCTTCAAAGCAGACCATGCTTGAAGCTCCTTTTCTTTCTTTTCTTTTTTTTTTGGGGGGGGGCACACCCAACGATGCTCAGGGGTTACTGCTGGCTCTACTCTCAGGAATCACTCATGGCGATGCTCAGGGGATCATATGGGATGCTAGGAACCGAACCCGGGTTGGCATATGCAAGGCAAATGCCCTGCCCACTATGCCATCACTCCAGCCTCCTTGATGTTCCTTTTCTTAATCTAAAGGTACAGCATGGATTATTTCTGGATTTATATAGTTGGAGGTTTTCAAGATGCTAATTCCCTTCTTTTCCCCTGAAATTACTGGCAAGTATTGAGCAAGGGTTAAATTATATATAACAAGGCTTCCTCAAATTGCTATGTATGTTACAGAAATTCACACAGCATCAAAAATTATCGTAAAACATGAAGTGAAGTGATATTCATTCTACTTTCGCTTAGTGAAAATAAACCCTGATGTTTTCAAGTTATGCTTGGGTAAATCCAAGAGAAAAGATACTTTCAGGTCATTATACATTTAACTCAAATAGGTCTACTTTAATATATCACTAGAAGAATTACACTACAGATCTCATAAATGAATTACATATAAACACCATAAACTTACAAAGCTATCAAGTGGAATGTAATGTATATTTAGAAAGAAAGCCTATGCCAGTGAAATTTGAAACAATTTATTTCCCAAGTATTATTCTTTCCTATGCAATCAGGTCTGTGTCATGAATTTGCTGAAATAGTATGTTCTGTCTGCTGTGGCATATTGACAAAATTGGATCTATAGTTTCTTAGCAACTGCAGGCGCTTCTAAATTTTGTGGCTATGATCTTAAGAATACAGGTCAATGGTTTTACATTTTTAAGAACACTGATACTCAAGTCAGTATTTCCTGAAATTTAATCAAAATTGTTATGTTTATTAGTTTCCATTCAGAATTCTAGAAATTTTGAATTATTTTCATTCCAAATTCTGAAAAGTTGGCTGACTACTAGAATTGTGTTTATTATTGCAGCAATGCTTGATGAAAAATTTATCATTCAATAACAATGAAACACATGAAGAAAAGGTAATTTTTTCACAGCACCAATATTGAGTTAGTTTTAAGTTTTATTTGATGTCAAAGTTTTAGTTATTTTATATACTTTTGGTTATAGACACTTTGCTTCAAATACTGTCACTGCTCTCATCACCTTATTTCATTGGCATATTTTTAAAATTACAGTTGTTTTTGACTCAAGGATGTAACTCAGTGTCAGAGTATCTGCCTTATAGGTATGAAGTCAAAGGCTTGATCCCCAGTACTTCCAGGTGCAGAGAACAATCCATGTGACACAACAGATCATACAACCAAGTATATGTAAGCCCTGTTCAATGAAACAGCTACAAAGGGAAAGGAAGAGAATAAATAAAAATAATATATTTTTTAAAAAGTACAGTGAAGGGCTGTAGAATGGACATGGTTTCTCTTGTCATCACTTACCAAGATTTTGCCACATGCTGAAAATTTCACAACCCATTGTCACTCGCATGTCACCATACCTAAAATAAAATACATATAGGAGTTAGGATATACAGTCTCTTGAAAAGGATGACTTTGTACTTTGGGGGCTGCAATGTCTTTCTGAGTCAAAATATTATGTTTTAAATAAAAGATGCCTAAAGAACATTGCCTGGATACCTCAAATTTAAATCCTTGGATAAAACAGATTTGTCTCTCCTAATGTTTCTTTCTATAGTTACTCATGAGTCTTAAAAGATGGAGGGCACAAAAAGTACAAATAAATTCAATATGGAAAGTTCTGAAAATGATTGCTTCTTGTCCATGTGGTTATTGCTTTGCAACACTAATTTTCAGTTGGGGACTAAATTATGAATCAACTATACCAAGTTAAAATGTAAAAACATTTGATTTCCCCCATAGTCCCACATAACTCCCCGTTTGTACTTACTTTTCTAACACCTTTTTCTTTTTGGAAGGTGTGAACATCTCTAGCTGCAGACACAATTGGTTTATAAAAATGACTGCGAGGTAAAAGTAGGAATCCCAGATCTAAGACAAAAGCAATATAGGTCATGATTAGGGTGTTATATAAACATTTACAAGTGATATACATCCATGAGACACTGGATTTACTTCCCAAGTGATACATCAACATGGGGATAACCTAGATAAGATGAGTAAGTGATCACAGTCAAAGGTAGATAGAGGCACATGGGGATTCATTATAAGCTTCCCTCTATAGCTGTTTGCAATTTGCTTTATTAAAGAAATAAGCTAAATGAATACTATTAATCTGTATATCTCTCAATGCTTCATCCAAAGCATCATGAGTTCTCTGGTATATTCCAAAATGGCAGATGCTTTATTTCTTATAACATGTCTGAATATCTCCAAGGAGGCTGGGATAGAATATGGATTACTTTATTCCTGTGTGAATTTTATTTTTGGAAATCCTTTCAATGTAGAACTGAAAAAAAAAAGGGTGCACACTTCTTTGGATATGCTAATTTCTTTAAATTAAGACAGTATATAAAAATGCCCTGCCCAGACAAATTTTTGAGTCTAAGATTCTTATACCAAAGCAGCATCAGAAGAAAGATCAGAATAAAATGTCCAGAAATAAACTTGATGAAAAGCATTAGTGGATAATGAGAGGAAACAACTTCTCAAGTGATACTGTACAAAATTAGATAATCGCAGGAGAAACATTATAAAGAATATCTTCTAAGTACATATAATTTTTATGAATTAAAATATAAAACCTAACCAAAATAAAGGAAAAATAGCAAAAATAACTAAATAGTAATTTTAGTCAATAATTAACAGAAAAGTTATTAGTTAACAAGAAAAATGACTAACAAGAAAGAAAAGTTAAAGTAATAATTTTTTGGATGTTTTTTGTTTTGTTTTATTTGTGGGTCATACACAGCAGGGCTCAGGGCTTATCCTGGCTCAGCACTCAGGGACCACTCCTGGCGGGGCTCAGGCGACCATATGGGGAACCAGGGAACTGAAGCCGCTTGGCTGCATGCAAGACAAGTACCTACCGGCTATACAATCACTGTTGTATATTTCTCCCCTTATCAGTTATTCCCCCAAAGTTTTTTCTTCTTTATTAGTGATAATATTAGAGAAAAGGCAACTATCTATAATAGGTACAATCATAACTTATAATTCCACTCAGCAATTCTATTATCTATTCAAAGAAATATAAAAATATACAAAAATTTATCAGAACACATATAGACAGAGAGAATAATGCTCTATACATATAATTTATAATTACCTATAATTTATAAAAATTTAATGTCAAAAAAGTAGATCTTTGATGATAAAATTTTGATATATTATGAGGTATAATATGAAGATGTATTCTATGACCAATAAAACTTAGTATTTTTATAGCATTTTTGATTTCTTAACTGTTCAAATGACAATTTTTATTAAATGTTAAATATGAAAAATATTATCTAGTATCAGAGCTGGAGCGATAGCACAGCAGTAGGGCGTTTGCCTTGCACGCAGCCAACATGGCCGACCCGAGTTCGATTCTTCCGCCCCTCTCGGAGAGCCCGGCAAGCTACCAAGAGGATCTCGCCCGCACGGCAGGGCCTGGCAAGCTCCCCGTGACGTATTCGATATGCCAGACACAGTAACAACAAAGTCTCCAATGGAGACGTTACTGGGCCCGCTCGGGCAAATCAATGATCAATGGGAGGGCCTTTACCTTTTACCCTAGTATCAGAGCAATAGTACAGCAGGTAGGGTGCTTGTCTTACATGTGGTTGACATGGGTTTTATTCCCAGCATGCCATGGGGGTTCCAGAGCACCCATGAATGACCCCTGGGCACAAAGCCAGGAGTAAGCTCTGTGGCCCAAAAACCAAACCAAACCAAATCAAACCAAACAAAAACACCCAGAAAAATAATAAAGAATGATGCCAGAAACACACAAAAAATAATTAAGAAAGGAAGAAAAAAACTTGAATGGAACTAAAGGATATCATGTCAAGTGAAATAAATCAGAAGGAGAAACACCAGATGACATCACTTATGTGGAATATAAACAAAGCAAGAAAATGGACAATGGCTAATGAAAACAAACCCCTGGTTTCTGTCAACAGAACTGAGTTTACCAAACAGGGAGTGAAGGATAAAAGAGGTGGACAAGAAGCAACAGAATGTGTGACTGCTGATGCTCTTATCTCCAGGGGTCTGTGAGAACTGGTACCAGATGTGCAACCATGAGTGAGTAACACAACGCAGCACAAGGGCACCATAACTAAGTGTGTGTGGGATCTGGTCACTGCAAAACAGCAACAACAACCAAAAAAGGAGGTGGAGGGGGGAGAGAAAAATGCTATTGTAGCGAAAAAATAAAAACAAAATAAAACCATACCTTCTCTCATCTTCTGTGACTCCCACCACTTTCACAAAGAGTATTATAGCCCTAACTTTTCACAAACAAAAACAACAATTCCTCTAATGGTATTTATCATAAAGACTTATCCCATCTGGGGCTGGAGTGATATTACAGCGGGTGAGGTTGCCTTGCACACAGTTGACCCACATTTGATCCCCAGCACTCCATATTGTCCCCCAAACACCACCAGTAGTAATTCCTCAGTGCAGAGGCAGGAGTGAGCCCTGAGCATTGTCAGGTATCGCTGGAAACCCAAATCAAGCCAGACCTCATAGGGTCTTCAGTAGTCAATAGAACTGTGATCTGAAGGGTCTGGCTGGTGGAATGGGGGAAGAGGACCTTGGGATAATGGTGGAGGGGTCTTGTCAATCTGGTGGTGGTCATGGCAGAGCTGAACTGCAAGTGTAGAACAATTAAGGTAGTACAGTAGTATTTTACATACAATAAAATAAAGTAAAAACAAAAAACAAACAAACAAAAAAAACCCTACTGAAATAACCTAAGATAATTTGAAACAGCTGGAAGAAATTTAGTTTCCTATAATTAAAAGATGGGAAGTACACTAGATAATTTCCTGAAGTACGATATGAAACTCTTAAAGAGGATAGTCACTTAAAAGGATACTTACCTTATAATCAAAGTTTTCACTTAAGAAGTTTTTCCGAAGTGCATCTGACAAGTACAGAACTGTTGTAATAATAACACTAGTGAAAAAAAAAAGAATACATTTTAAAGTTGGACATTTCACTCCAGTGGAAACCACTCATCAGATAAGAATAAAAAGCATTAAGATAAAAGAAAATTATTCATTTAGGCATATGAAGCAATATTAGATAATTCATTATTAGAACTTGAAAAGACACTAGAACAAATATATCCATACACACACACACACACACACACACACACACACACACACGCACACAAGCATGTGTCTATTTAAAGATGCATGCATACATATAAGGAAATATGAATTCAAACAACTTAGTGATCTACAAATCTCTTGATGTTTTACAGTGTTTTGATTAATTTACAAATGAAGCAAAATGATTCAATACAAATATTTGATGAAGAAAGCACACTTTTTGAAAGTACAGAAAAATAAATGGAGCCCATGAAAGCAGAGACAGGGCAAATTGAGTCATTTACAGGGTGTCTGTGCTCTCCCTCACTTCAGGTACAGGATCCACACATGAGTTATAAGGGGGCAAATTCTCTCTCTCATGGCAATAAGACTAAAGAAACAATAATGCTGTGATGTGATCTACATCCAGGTCCTAAGGTGTATGGCAGTGACAATGAGGGTTTACGGCATTCCAGAGCTTTCAGAGATAGGGCATATCCAGAGCATGAGAAATCATGGAAAACTTGACAATGAGGACACACGCAACTATATACATCTTGCTGGGGAGATTTAAAAAGAAGGACATGGTAAGCATTCTTTTTTTTTAGAAGAACATTTTATATTTATTTTTTGTTATCCTTCAAAGAGAAATAACAGAAATAAAGAAGATACACAAACTGGTACTGATAGACCTACACTTTCTTTATACAGACTGCAAAATGGAGATGCTACAATCCAGAAGGGAAAAACTGAGTTGACTTTAATTTCAAAAAAAGTCATTAAATCATTATTTTTCCTTCTTTGCTCTCAATTGATATCACCTAAAAATGAGGAAGTCTATGCATAAGCATTCCAGAAAGACATGTTGAATATACCTATCTCCCTTGCTCAAGACCACCAGTCTGGACCCCAGGAAACATGATATACCATATCACTTTACTGTACCTGCCTGTAATGGTAAGCATTCTTGGTTAATTCTATAGTTAAGTAATTTGTTTAAAATATGCTACTTTTCTGTTAGAAAAGATGAAGTCATGAAATTTACATACAAGTGGTACTACATGGAAAGTATCATGCTAAGCGAAATGAGTCAGAAAGAGAGGGATAGACATAAAAAGATTGCATTCATCTGGGAGACACAAAGTAACAAAATAGGAGATTAATACCCAAGAATAGCCGAGATCAGTACCAGGAGGATTACCCCATGGCTTAGAGGCCAGCTAGGCATGCTAGGGAAAGGGCAGCTGAGATAGAGAAGGGAGCACCAAATAAAGGGTGTTTGGAGGATCCTCCCAGGACGGGAGATACACTTTGAAAGTAGACTATGGACCGAACATGATTGTCACCCAATGCCTCTTTTGCAGATCACAAAATGAAAAAGGAGAGAGAGAACAAAAGGGAATGCCCTGCCACAGAGGCAGGGTGAGATGGGGGGATGGGGGTGGGAGGGATACTGGATCCATGGTGGTGGAAAATGGGTACTGGTGGAGGGATGGGTATTTGATCATAGTATAATTGAAACCCAAGCACAAAAATTTGTAAGTCTACAACTGTACCTCATGATGTTTCATTAATAAAAATGAAAAAAAAAATGCTACTTTTACAGCCTTGAGAGTATATATTTGCAAATAAAATACATTTCCAATAGGTTCAATTAATTAACATTAATACAGCAATGCAAGGTTAGCTACTTCCCAAACAACTAAGAAGCAAAATACCAACGTATAAATTGTTGATAATCAAAACTTTTTTCTGTTTTCTGAAAAACATGAGCAATGGAGGCTAATAAGGTGTTGAGAACCCAGGTCTTGACTTAGGGTTTGGAGTTAGGGATGTAGTTGTATGACCCTAGGTAAAAGGAAATGAAACAAAACATAACACACCTTGATTGTCCTGCTAGTAAAAGAGACCTAGGTAGACTAATTACTAATTTGAATACTATGTATTTCCTTTGAAGGACATACATGTGCAACCGTTATAAGGTGGAAGCTCACTATTATAGCCTTCTGGTGAAGCAGGGCGGGGGGGGGAGTTAATGAGGAGGGTGTGTTGGATGTGGAAATTCAGGGTAGATGAAAGATAAGAACTACCAATTATTGGGCACTGCTCTACCTAGTGGGTATTGTGCTGGGTGCATGTATATAACACATATATGACTTAAGCCTTTCAGCAGATCTAAGTGAAAACTGAAATTGAGACTCACACACCATGACAGTTATAACCAGGGAAAAGATAATATAAATAGGCACTGCAAGACCAATGATGGTAACTGAAGAAAACCACCTCCATAATGTTAAAAAAGGATGTTACTCTTTATAAGCACACAAAATTCTTCAATATACATAAATGCTGAGAAATCACAGGCAAGGGGAGTTTAATGATTTACTTATTGGTCAATTCTTGAAAGTGAAAAACATCAAAAATACTTTTCATAATATATCGAATGTGGCAAATGAGTCCATTTAATATGTCTGATTTGATGAGATAAATAAAACGTCCCAGACTAGGAAGATCTTAAAATGACTCTGCTTCAATTGCTTTTTATTTCTGCCAGTAACATTCAGCTCAGGTCACAGAGGCAGCTCCCAGAGCTTCTTATGGTAACTCAGCACTGAGATGCTTTCCAGGCACACAGGGCCGCAAGTTGGCTCAAGGCATTTACATATTATTGCTCCTTCATTGCAATGGATACCTGTGGTGTTTAGGGATCTTTCTTTATTTGTCCCAATTTACTCAAACTCATGTGGCTCTTTTCATTTTATTCTTTTACACATGACTCAGTTTCTGAAGATAGGGCCCATTCATATCTCTCTGCTCCCATTCAATTGCAAAGAAAGATCAGCAATCTATTACTACAAATGATCAACTGATGAATAGATACCACTGAAATACAGGCTTCAACAATCATTTCTGACAACCATAATTTATGAACATGGTATGAAATAAAAATTCATTACATGAAAGTGAGACTGGTGCAGAAGAATTCTAACTATCAGCTTAAGTTTTTTAGTCGCCACATCATTCCGGCATTTATAACGTGTTTTTTAGGAAATGAAATCCCCCCCCCCCCATAGAAATCTCATATTTTATTACTTGTCCTTTTTTTTTTTTTTTAATAATTTATTTATTTATTGAATCACTGTGGGAAAAGTTACAGAGCTTTCGGGTTTAGGTCTCAGTCATGTAGATACCGAACACATTTCCCTTTACCAATACTCATTTTTAACCCCGAACCCCAATAGACCCCCACCTCCCACCCCTCCCAATTCTTATGAGGCAGATGAGTTCTAGTTAATACTCTATCTACTTTGACTAGATAGATTATTTCGATAGAAGATGCACAATTATTGTTTAGAGTTTACGACCCACCCCCCCCCCCCCCCAATCAGACATGCTGAAACAGCGTTGTGAAATGATTTGCTTTCTACAACTTGGTTCAAGAGTAAAATGATGTCGCGCGGCCGCTATCGCGGCCGCGCGGTTTTGAATTTCTGCTATTTTACTTATTGACACTGGAAGAATTTCTATTAAAAGTTAGCTAGTTAAGAGATTGATTTCTGTGCCTCGGTGGGGCGTGGGGGACGGCCCACAAAGCCCCCCTTCCCATGAGGTCCCCGCCGCTTCCCCGAGCCCGGCTCAAACCCGCTTTCCACAAGGCTCCCGTGCGGCCGCCATCTTTCTTTCCAGAGAGGAGCGGGCGGGCCGGTCAACGCCCTTCCCCCTCTGGGCAGGCTTGGTGGCGCGGATCAACACAAGTCCATTTGCTTTTCTGCTCCAAGCGGCTGGTTCTCTGTGCTAAGTCCTTGTGCCTCCGGGGCCGTGGCCGTGCCGGAGAGCCGCTCGTGGGGGGCAGCTGGCGACCTCGGTGGGGCGTGGGGGACGGCCCACAAAGCCCCCCTTCCCATGAGGTCCCCGCCGCTTCCCCGAGCCCGGCTCAAACCCGCTTTCCACAAGGCTCCCGTGCGGCCGCCATCTTTCTTTCCAGAGAGCTACTTGTCCTTTTAAAAATTATTCTAATGTGAAAGCTTCTCGAGAAAACTGTACCTCCACAAATTATAAATGGACTGAGAAAAAGAATCTCTGTGTTTCATCTAGGCATCAATTAGGCCTTGGAGATAAGAACATCTAAATCTGGAATTCAGTAACTTCCATACAACCTGGTGGTTTCTTGAGGTTGTAAAAGAAGCCAAAGCAAGGGCAGCCAGAAGTCACGTGCAATGGTCAAGGGAATTAATCTAAACTGTTTCTAAGCTTCAGAGTATGTGAGGATACAGATGCAAGTCTCAGGCCCTCACTACTAGCCTCAGTTTGTGAAATTGTGATGGAGCCTAACCAGTTTCTACTCTTTACTCTTAACACTTTTTCATCAAAGACATTTTTATGTGGGCCCTGACACAGAGAGACAAGGAAAACAGTTTTTAAAACAAATGATAACTTTTACAAAATATTAGAAATGTATGTCATGCCATATGGGGTCATGACCTATAATTTAAGAAGCTAGAGTTTCATATGGCCATTATTTTTATGTTCTCAAGTCCCATGCACTCTTGAATTCACTCATCATTCCACTGATCCAGTACTTACTAAGATCAGCGATATCAGTACCAATGGCCAAACCCCAGGGCCAATTTCCAGTTTTCATCATCCACAGCCCCTAGCACTCTCCATACTTTTTCCTTTATCAAACAGTGTCTTGACAGTACTTTACTAGCTCTCATCTTACAGCATGGGTTTCTTCTTTCTTATCTCATTTCCTGGCTGCATATCCAGATTGACTTTCTTGAAGGCTGGCATGATTCACGGCCCAGTTCTAAGATATTCCTCTTTCCAATCTACACTTTCTTCCTGGGTATTCTCATTGACTTGCATGCCTCAGATACAGTTCAGAGACAGAATACCATCAAATACACATTTCTGACCTGGTTGTGCTCAGGGCTTGCTCCTGAGCAAATTTACATTTCTAACTAAGCTGTGTTCCAGGCTTACTCCTGACTCTGTGCTTAGAGATCAATTTTTCTGGGGCTGGGGGAACCATATTGGGTTCCAAGTATCAAACCCAGGTCAAACACATGCAGCTCTTCTCTGTCCTTACACTAGCATCCTACTTGTCCATCACTAGCATCCTACTTGTCTCCACCTGGATATGTAACAGCATCTCAAATACAGATTCTATAACACTTCATCTCAAAAACTATTCTTTCTCAGTATTTTCCATCTAAAGGAACCATGCTATCTGTTTTCTGTTTAGACCAAAGGAAGACTGTTTTTATCAGCATGAATCCCACATACTGAGATCCTGTGGTTGGGATGTATACAGCACATTAAGTGAACCTGAAAGGCTCTTTAGAGTGGCTGAAATATGAGAAGAAACCAATACAGGTGAGGTTGGATGAAAACAACATTCATGCAAAGAGAGACAAAAGAGAAACTAGGAAGAACCAGGTAGGAGTGTAATACTAGTTCTTAAGATGATTAAGCAGGTGAATAGCAATGGAACATGAATTTTTTTTTGGGGGGAGGGGTGGGGTAGGGGAGGGGGGAGGAGGAATCTCCTGTTTTAGCTTTTCAAATCAGTTTTATCCCTCATGAAGGACCTTCTTATCCCAGTCTAGAACAAAGTTCCTTTCACGAAAACGTCATGCAACTGTACTCTTTACTTTTTATGGCATTTACTTCTATTAGATACTGGAAAATATTTGCTGAATGAATCAATGAATGAATGATCTCCTTTAAGAATCTTGACTCCACAAATTATTTACTTACTATAAGTTGTATTTATTTACTATAAGTTGCATCAAAAAGCTACATTGGTTTAGGGTAATATTTGGTTTAATTATTCAGTTGTTGGTAGTGAAAGAAAAAGAAAATTGCATGCCAACATATATACAAGATAAATTAAATAAGGGCCTGAAATCTCAGAGAGTTTTCACTGTCTTCAATAATCTAGTCTATTATAAGTTTTTAGTTTCTTGAAAATATGTATAAAGCTGTGACTTTATTTTTATACTGTATTTTGCAATGTGTATGGAAAGGGGGTGGAGAGAATCTTGTCTCAACGTGTCCTATATATTTGGTATTTAATTTTCAGCTCCCTTATGTTCCTTTTTGCTCAGATTGAGCAGTTGTTCTCATCAGAAACATCTATCTAGCACTTATAGTGGGCACAACACAGTTTTGCAAGCAAAGAAGAGAAGTCACATCTGTTCCTTGCAAAATTTAGCCTGGATATATTACAGAATAATGTTAGATATTCAGGTGAAAATTAATTTAAAACTATACTAATAATCAAGTGCCTGTCACAGTTTTTGGTACCAATTCACGTAAAGCAAGGAGGTTCCAGGCTCTGGGATAACAAAGTATATGGATAAAATTGGCTGACATTGAACTTACATGAATATATACCAAAAAAAGAGAGCAGTACATAAAAATACATATACTGGGGGATGTACAACTAAGTTGAGTTAATGGATAGGGTTATAGTGATGTCTCTGGTAAATTACTATCAATTTGACATGCATTAAAAGCACAAAAGTGGATAGTAAAAGAAGAAAATTGGATTAAAAAGCTTCTTTGAAGTACCCTAATCAAATACTCTCTAAGAAACTTAGATCTGTCTAACTTCCTCCCTCCCTCCCTCCATCCCTTTCTTCTTTCCTTCCCCCCCCCCCCCCACCCCGCTTCTCTTTCTCATGGTGGTTATCTTACTCCTGGCTCTGTGCTCAGGAATCACCCATGCTAGGTCTCAGGGGATGATATAGGATGCTGGGGATCAAACTCAGCCACCTACAAAGCAAGCACCCTACCCACTGTGCTATCTCTCTAAGTCTCACGATGTTGCATTTCTAAAACACTGAAAACCTCATATAATTTCAAAATCTGAGTAGAAAATGGGTGGGGAAACTTAAAGAAAGAGAAGAGGGGGAAAAAAGAGGGAAATAAGACAAAGGTGTACATGCATGTTTCAGGTTATCAGGCCCTGGTGTCCCATTTAGAAATTAGGTTGGAATTGCCTCAGTCAGTCATGACCAGTGGATTAGTAGTACCAAATTCTCAGAGGTGAGGACTTAGGTGTTAATGGAATGGTATATTTATATTTTGCAAAAGTAGATGGCATTTTTCTTAAAAATATTTTTCTGATTATATATATTACATAGACCCTACCCCCGACCCCCACCCCGCAAAATCATTTCCCTATTTGGTTAAGTCTATAAATGAGAATCTGGAATGTAATGTGTTTAGTCTTTCCCTCATTCATGGGATGACAAAGTCTTCATAAATGGAGCAGAAATTTTCATGTGAGGCAGAGAGATGGTATTTAATATAAAAGAGCCACATGGTTGTCAGGAAGCTCAAGCAGAGCATGTGAATGTAAGAAACAAAATGTCAGATTTGCTTTCAGTCTGAAATTCTGCCATAAAAAATTTCTAATTCAAGGCAACGTATCCCATTGCCTATGGTGTGGGGCAGGATGACCGAATAATGATGCGGAGGGAGGATGGTATCGGCAGCCAGGACTCCATTTCATCTGGTTCCTGGATCACTTCGTAGTTCTCTCAGGGTGATTCAGAATTCCTGACCTTTGGTAAGAAGGCCAAATACAAACCAACAGCTCCCACTTAAAACTGAAGCCTCCAGACACACAGATGAAGATTTGATTGTACTCAGTAATCAAACTCATTATGCTAAATTCTAAAAACAGCGATTTGAATAATCTCAATTAGTCTTCAAAATGGGAAATCTGCTTCTGTACTTATGTAAAATATAATATGCCACATTTTACTATTTGTTACTTCACAAAGTTTTTAACACATCATTTTAACACCTCCACGTCTATAAATGTATAGTGCAGCAGAAGACATATTGGGCAAATCTAATCAAAATTAAAGCCTTGATTCTTGGGGCTTTTGCCATCATGTCTCAGCGGCTGGGAAAAAAAAAGGCATCCTTGGGCCTTGTATCTATACTTAAAAGGTTCAACTTTCACCCTGAGTATAGGCTGTTGGGGATTAAAGAAGGGAAGAGATGAGATACAGGCAACTGTGAGTTTAAAATTATGAATGCTTATGAAATTGGATAAATTGCCAGAGTCACTTATTATGATAACCTGTCATTTGTCTGAAGAATTTTATCTTCATTATGTGCCCTGAGGTGAGAGAGAAAGAGAAAGAGCTAAAGAATATATGACACAGTATTTTCCAGAGAAGGCTCCAGCCTCTCTTTTCCTACCTGGCCCCCATTCCTTCAGCACTGACCTCAGGGCACTGTGATATGTCTGATGAATAATTACAGCAACTTCCAAAATTTCAACTTCAGGCCAGTAGCTTTTTTAATATCTGGCTCTAGTTCCAAATTTCATTCGGGCACTATTTTCAAGTTTCTACTGGGTATACCACTTACATATATAAAAGAAACTTTTTAACATTGAGTTGAACTTCAACATCCAATTCAAGAACTGAATCTTATTCCCAGTGCTTGGTGACATTGGCAGATGCCTGGTCTATATATTTTTAACTAAAATGAATTAAAAAATATCAGAAATGAATCAAGCGTCCAGTAACAGAGCTAGTTAAAAAGAACTATAGTGACCCATTCAAGGGATATCATACTGTTGCAAAAGGAAAAATAAAATCTAAAAGAATGAGGGTTTTTCTAGGTCTTAATGTGGGAAGACTGCTGGCATTTTTGTCCAGTTATTTGTTTTTGTTTGGGGGCCATATACATTGGTGCTCAGGGATGACACCTGACCCTGTGCTCAGGGATTACTCCTAGTGGTCCTTAGGTTCTATATGTGGTGTCAGGGATCAAATCTTGATCAGCCACGTGCAAGGCAAGCACAATACCTGCTGTACTATTTCTATGGCACCAGCTGGCAATTTTAAATAAAAGAGTAACTGGCAGAACAGTGACACAAATATATCATGCTACCTACTAGGTTCTGTATAAAGGAATGCTGGAAGAACAGGCAAGAAACCAACAAAAGTGGGCACTACAGGTGTGAGAAGAGGTTAAAAAACAGAAGGCAGGAGTATTTCAACAATGCGTATTCTATAATATAGTTTTCTTTTTGGACTGTTTTAATATAAAACCTATTAACAAATTGTAATACACACATACACACACACGCACACACACACACACACACATATATATATGTATAAGAGACATTAATTTGGAAACAAATCAAAAGATCTCCAGGAATTGGAGGTTCCATACTTGAGATAAAATTGAAACCATCAGTTTGCACTCTCCTCTCCCCATCTATAATGAGCTACAATTATTGCCAATTTAAATGTTTTAAATGTCTTACTTGTTAGCCACCAAGCGCATAACAGTCCAGTCTTTTGGAAACATCTCTGGGCGTATTAATATTCGGAACACAGTAAATATCTGCAGCAGGAAATCCTTGGATGAGAAGGAAACAGATCATTTTATTGACTTATTTTAACACACACATACACACACACACATGCACGCACACACGCACACATGCACTCATAGAGCTGTTAACCATTTCCAAAGCAATTACAGAGAAACAGGAAGTCATATAACAGTTTACCCAGGAGAAAATATCATTGGCCTTTACAGTTTTATCATCTAAGGGGCTAGTTACCCATGCCCATTATTATCTTTTTTCCACTCTTTCCTGTACAGCAGAAAAAAGGGTTATTGATTCCTTTTCCCAAGCTCAAAAAGTTTAGGATTCAGAAAATGGAAAACTGGTAATAAGAATATTATCAGGTAATTATATTCTTTTACTTATAATGCCTTAAATATTAGAACTTTTCAACTCAACAAAACCAGAATCACTTCGAAATCAGCTTTATCTTAAGTGGAGTAAATATTTACTAAATTATGTTCAACTAATATTTTAAGCAAAAACCCATGTTTCTTAAAGAACATTCTGAAGACACATTACAAATGTATCACAAGTTTACAGATATGAATAAAATGTGCAGATAATATCCTAAAGGGTTTGCTGTGTAGAAACATTCTATGTAAATGTGCCATGCAGAATATATTCTAATAAGGATGTGAGCTATGCTGAGGTTGAAGACAAATATTTAGCAGCTATGGCAGTGTCAAGATATTCTTCAAAGATGCCACATGAGCACTGTGGTATTTTTGAGCTATTATCTCTATACTGATAACCTGTAAATAATTCTGGCAAGTTGCTATCAGACATGGGATAAATCTTAAAACTTTAGAAGAGAGGCTGGAGTGAAAGTCCAGCGGGTAGGGCATTTGCCTGGCACAGAGCAGACCCGGGTTAATCACCAATATCCCGTATATTCCCCCAAACACTGCCAAGAATAATTCCTGACTTCGGAGCCAGGAGTAATCCCTGAGCAAAGCCAGGTGTAACCTAAGAAGCCAAAAAACAAAAAACAAAACAAAACAAAAATTGTAAGCCATAGTACCTCAGCTAGCTATGGTGCATCTGAAGTTACAGGGATACTTGAGGAACTAACAAAAGTCATAATGAATGAAAAGAAATTTGCCTCACTTTGAAATAGATTGGTTAAATCTAGATTTAATTTAATTTATTAACTAGAAAGTTTAAACACATTTTGCAAACTGAAGTGCTGCTAGGAAACTGGAGCTTGCATGTTACTGTAAGGCAACAGTTTGCTACTGCTTTAAGAAAAAGGAAGAAAAACCCCAACACAGGAGTTTTATTTATCAAACCCAACAACACATTATGTTAAACATGTAAGCTGACTGAATATAAGATTATGGTTGTCATTCATACCATCAGAAGATAGACAGAACCTAAAAAACTAAAAACCATGTGGTAGCTTAAAAAACATGCTAACAGCTTTGGTAAAGCTTACAAATATTTTGACAAGAACCTATTTGAGCTTCTCTGGCATCAATACTTAGGTTCCTATGTGGACATGTGTCCACCAGGTCGCGTCTTTAAATAGCCAGACAAATCCGGCCATGTTTGCAGAATCAGGAGACAACATTTCCCAAATGATTTTTGCAAACAATTTTGAGAAACACAGCCTAGTACTCTCTTGGGATAGTGTATCAGGGGCAGACCCAATCTGTGAGATCCCCTTTGCCTGCATTTCTAAAGCTGATTTTGAAACATTTTTTCCCCAGCTGATACTTTTGGGTTTCTAACAATAACACATATATTCTCTGCAAAAAAAAAAAAATCTTTCAAAGGTGAACCCCAATTCATTTTCCTATCTTGTTTTATGTGCTTAGAGAGACAGTTGAAAGAATCTTGAAAGTAGGAATCAGTTGTTTTTCAGTCTACAATCACTTAGCAATTGTGAAAATAGATTCTAAAAATACTGAAGTTTCATCTTTTCTCCTCAAAACTTTTAAGGGAATTAGGGGCTAGAGAGATAGTACAGTGGGTAAGGCGCATGCATATGTAAGGTAAGACCTTGCATACTTTTGGCCCAGGTTCGATCCTTGCCACCTCATATAGTCCTCCAAGACCTGCCAGGAATGATTCCTGAATGTAGTACCAGGAATAATCCCTGAGCATTGCCAGGCTTGGCACACACACACACACACACACACACACACACACACACACACACACACACACTCACATGCGCATGCATAAACACACAATCAACACCACCATCACCATAATAAATTTTATGGGAATACAGTATACTGTCAGTGAGGGCAATGTGTGTGGGGTGGGAGAGGGTGATGTCAGTTCCACGGAAAAAACACTGGATGAAAAGGTAGTCTACAGGAGGCAAAGCATCTATCATAGGTACAGGAGTTGAGTCTGGACAACCAACTTCTGTGCCATCTCAGTTTCCTATTCCTCTCTGTCTCACAAAATAAAAGTCACATTGGTTTGCTAGTGTACCAAAGACTCAGGAAACCGAGGTTTTAATCCTGACTTTACAGTTAATTAACTCAATAACTGTGACATTTATTTAACTGCTCTAGAACTGAGTTCTCATGCCTGGAAAATATTGGGGCTTACAGGTATTTTGTCATGAGAGGAGATTTAAAAAAGTAAATATAATCATTTACCTATTCATATACTGCATGATTTTTAATCTATCTAAACTGTAGGCTAATGCTTCATCAGATAATAATACAAAAACTCTTTTATTATCGTACTTTAATATACTTCAGAAAATATTTATTGTCGATTGCCACACACAGGTTTCACTTCAAATTTCAGTCACACATTTTAAGGCAAAAAGAACTGAAGATACATGAATTCTATAGTATCCTTCTTCTCTTCTCCACAAACAGTAATACTTTGTCCTAAATATTTTTTCAGCTGTGATCACTACTGTATATGTGCTTTTACCATGGATATACCAAATTATTTTGTGCACATAGCAATAACAAAGTAACAAATTCTTGTTATAATAAGGAAAAAGAACACTGCCACAATAATACTCTTCTTTGGATAGCTCACAGAAATGGGTTTCATATGCCATTGCTTTAAAACTGGCATCCTGGGAGCAGTTTCCTTTTTATGTTCATTTATTTCAAATAGCACAACATGGCAACTTAACTGCATTACTGGTTATCATTTAAATATGAGTTCAAAATAAAAAAAGAAAGAAAGAAATGAAAGTGGATATTTTACAGAAGCGCCTTTTCTGCAGTACAAAAGGTTCAAGTAAGAAATTTGATGTGGAAACCTTTCAAAATGATAAAAAGCTTCACATTCAACCAGAAAAGAAAACTGGAGAACTTGCTATGACTTCAAAAACTATGACTGATAATCACTCTTTCATTCATAAATACTGGGTGCTTTCCTATGTGCTAGGCACTGTGTTTGACACAGAAATCTAGTGGGATAATTTATGTTCTTTTACTTACTCATGCAACATAGCCCACTCAAATGAGCTACTAGAATGTCATCTTTGCCTTCATAAAGCTCATAGTTTGGTGGAAAAGATAAATGTTAAGGTAAAACCACACAGATATGTGAATGCCTTACAGAGGCAAACTAGGGAAGTCTGAAGGTCATGAACTCCACTAGCAGGAAAGAGCATCTGTAAAACCTCAGAGGGAAAAAGGCACAAGCTTGCTGAACTGCACGAGAGATTGGCAAGAAATGGGCTGAATGAGAAACTAGAAGCAATAAGTCAGAAAGATGTCGGGCAGGAAAATAGAAGGTAAAAGAACGGGGCCCTGAGGAACTTCATGCAGGTGTGAGGGAAACACATTCATGTTTTACAAAGATTTTCTGATTATATTGTACAAAATTTCGATTTTTGTCTATATTTTGCCAGGGTGGGGTGGGGATGTGCGGTGGGGGGGAGGTGTTTCACAGCTCTCTGGGATTTTGTGGTGTTGGGATTGAAGTCAGGCTGGAGGGACAGCACAGTGGGTAGGACATTTGCCTTGCACGTGGCTGGTCTTGGTTCAATCCCCACATCTCTCCTGGAGAGCCTGGCAAGCTACCGAGAGTATCCTGTCCGCATGGCAGAGCCTGACAAGCTCCCCCTGGCATATTCAATATGCCAAAAACAGTAACAACAAGTCTCACAATGGAGATGTTACTGGTGCCCGCTCGAGCAAATAGATGAACATTAGGATGACAATACTACAGTGCTACAGTGGGATTGAAGTCAGGACTTCCACATACAACGCATATGCTTCTGTCCTTTGAGCTATATTCCCAGTCCTAAAATCATTCTCACACAATGTATTATGGTAACAGACTTCACAAGATAGAGATCAGGTTTCTGAGACAGAATTGGTGGAAGCATAGCAGGAGGAATTCTGAGCTCATTGGAAACCCGAGTTACAAGGGTTACAAGTTACCAGCTATCCAGAGAAGCAAGCCCCTGAGATAGGGAAAAAGTGGAATATTGTCTCCCCATGGCAAGAGCAGCAAATGGGACAGGGTCTTAGAGGAACATATTTCCTTTACTTAGGACTTAAACTATAGTCAAATGCTATTTTAAAATTTGTCAAAATTTTCAAATGTACAATTCCCTTGACGCAGATTGGAATTCAATTAAAGGGTGTTAATAATCATTATCACATTGAAATCCATACTTCTAAAATTGAATATTTAAGTATATTTTACAAAAAAATAACACCCAATGGTCTTCACTCTCTGAGACCTACAGAACAATATTTTTGCAATAAAATAAAGACAAAGTTGAAATAACTACAGGAGATGATGGTTTATGAATTAGGTAGACATTTATTAAGAGGGTTCATTCACTCAACAAAGATTCAATGTTCTACCCTCTGTGCTTAGAATACAAAGAACCGGTTCTCATTTCCAAGAACCCCCATGGTCATAAAGAATGTAAGGAAACAATGAATAACTACAATGCCCTATTTTGTGCTTTCATGAAAGGGGGGAAATAGAGTCAGTGAAGGCATCATAAAGTAAGTGGTATCTGAGCCATAGCATAGCAAGAGCTGAAAGCAACAAAAGGAATGACATATTAGGGAATGGGAGGGAAGTGGTAATAGAACTGGCATTTCTGGCTGACAAGAGTCAGAAAAATTAGAAATTATATATGTGATCTGTTAGGACTATATGTGGAGTTTTAAAGGGTTTAAGTAAAAAGTATATGGAAGGGGGTGAAGGCCAACATGATGGGAAGTTTACTGCAGACAAGGAAAATCTGACAGTGTCCTTTGGGTAAAGTGAGGTCTTTGGAGGGTTCTGGTTTTTGTTTGGAGGCCAGACCTGCAGTGCTGAGGGCTTATTCCTGGTTTTCTACTCAGCAGTCACTACGAGTGAACTCTGGGGGACTATAGGGATGCTGGATATCTATATTGGGTTGATTGCATGCAAGTCAAGTGCCCTGCCCACTATACTATCTCTCCAGTCCTGAAGTCTTAGATTTAAAGTTGGACTGCTGCAGAGGTCGACTGAGACTTGATCTAATATTTTTAAAAGTTAGTGGGCCAGAATAAGGGAGACAATAAAAGATTCTAGCTGCTTCTATAACATGCATTACATCAGGCTTAAAGAAAGATCCCCGCAGTTCTCTATTAAAAGTAATAACCAAAGAACTGGAGTCGCACTGTTCTCTGTGTACATGAAATACCAGGGATATGGAAAAAATTCAAGCTCCCACTAGAAGAAAGTGGGTGTAAAAGCAAACATTACTGGCTGCAAAAGGAGGGGGCAAAAGCCATAATCATTTTCCAGTTTTTTCCTTTGTTCATTTCTTTAAAAAATGACAAATTCCAAAGAAGGAAAGAATTAAACAATGAAGAATAACAACCCTCTGGTCCTCAATCCTACACACTTCTGCTGACATTGACAAGAGCACTCACACATGAGTAGCTGAGAACTAAGTAAAAGAAATAGCACAGTGTTTAAATGCCGGGAGCTATTTCTACAGTAACTCTAGACACATTTAGGTTCTTCAAGCAAGAATGGGTTTCAAATACTGTTAGTTTTAGTAGATACTTGAGAACAACATAATTTCAAAATTAACTTTGACTTAGAGAACCAGTGGGGAATGCTAAAACAGATCTTTCTTTGAATTGATAAGAAAAGGAAAGAAAAAAAAAGAACAACAACAAAAACATTCATCTCATTATATAATTTATCAGTATTAATTTATTAGTATTAATTAGGATTTTAAATGTATATATTCCATGATCCAATAGTCTTATTCCTAGAAGTTCATTCTCAGCAATAAGGATGAAATCAGTAGAAATGAATGTATCAAAATGTTCACTGTAGCTGTCTAGTGGAAAAGATTGGAAACTTTCTGAAAGTACATCAAATACTGCACTTTCATAGCTCAATTACATAGCTACATATAAATTATTTTAGAAGAATGAATATTTGGGGCTATAAGATACCTATGACATTACTAATCCCCCAAAGAACAACCAATAGAGTATTATTGAATTAAAAAGTGCATTATGTGCATTATGTGCACAGGAAATAGTCTATGAATATATCCTATGTGCTAATATTAGCTAAATGAAGATTAGAATACATGTGTGAAAGAAAAGGGGGTGATAAACTTTATTTATCTAAAACAGTAGGGTTGTAGGAAGATTTTAATCCTAATATCAGTTATGATTTTTCATTAAATATTACTAATTAAACCATACTTCCCTCATGAATAGCCTTATTACATTTCTAACATAAATAAATAAATATATTTACCCAATAGAATGTTTCCTCTACTAATTTGGCCCTTTTAAGATAATTTTATTTCAAGACTAAAACCATCTAACTTTGAAAGGATCATGAAGTATTTTTTTATTTTTTTGCAATCTGACAGCAAAGATTTTGCTTTAGTAAATTTTATTAAACTTTAGGAAAAAGCTGAATTTAGCTGCCTGAGCAAAAAGCCAAGATGTTAATAGAATTCTTAGCTTTCTCAATTGTTTGAAGATAATGATAGCATCCATCTTCAAGACGCAGGGCAGAAGTAAAATGAGGTGCTACAGAAGTGTTTATAGCACAGTATCTTGTTCTTGGCTGTGATGAAGAGTATTATTTAACCATGAACCATTATCACTGTTGCCTATACATATTGTGCTTGTTCATACTTAACAACTTACATGCAGGAAATAAAATTAAGGTATTTAACAGATTATTTTATTACTTTTGATATAATAATGTCTATGCAAGATACTCAATATATGTTGAATCTGACAACATTAATTTTCTCATGAGGGTCTTATGAGGATTAAATACATTAATAAAAATTAGCCTCTTAATATAGTGCCTTGCATATACTAAGTTCTATATAGATGTCTGTTTTTAATATTTAAAGTCCTCAGTTCAATCCCCAAGTGTTCAAAAATTTCTGGGTTTTACAACTCATTTAGCAACAAAAAATATTATCATCTTTATTTTACCCCCACTTATACCACGTATTTTAATTGCAGCAATATTAAGATGCTTTAAAATTCTTACCCCAAATTGTACTGGAGGTACTATATAATATATTTTATATGCTTGCATTATCTTTCGAAATCTCAAAAGTTCTGACTTCTAAAATATACTTGGTACTAAGGACTTTGAATAAGTGACTATGGAGCAGTGTACTAATCTTTGAGTAATATTCTAGTACAGATTTTAGTTGCATCAACAGGAATGTTCAGCTTTGAAGAAAACTGAGAATAAGAAAATTTGTTAAAAGCTCACTCCTGAGGGGCTGGAGAGATAGTACAGTGGATAAAGTATCTGCCTTGCACATATTTGATCTGGGTACCACATATGGTCCCCCACTTGGGAAACACTGGGTTAGAAGTAGCGAAATGCATACACATATACACAGAGAGAGAGAGAGAGAGAGAGAGAGAGAGAAGAGAGAGAAATGCGGGGGGAGAGACAGAGACAGAGAGAGACAGAGAGAGGAAAAGGTATGTGGTTGACAAAATGAAAAAAATATGATATAATACAATTTGTTATTTCCACTTGATCTATTATTAATATTGTTTATCAATTTATGTTTTTAAATTTTTAGACACTAGAAAGTCTGTATAGTGTGAAATTTTGGAAGATCGAATCACAAACTTCTAAAGAAAAATCTACCCATTCGTTATCTGCATTAAAAATTCAAGTTCTGGGGTTAGAGATAATAGAGTAGGTAGGCTTCTCTTGCACTCAACCAATCCAGGTAAAGATGTATGATTCCCAGAGCTTACGAGTAGTGATTCCTAAGCAAAGAGGTATGAATCAGCCCTGAGCACAACTGGGTGTGGCTAATAAATAAATACATTTTAAAAATAAAATTCAACTTTTGATGACAGTTAACAATACTATAATTATTTTCCTTTGAAATCCATAGATTTCTGTGGGTATGTTCCAAGGCTTTTTATTCATTTGTAATTCTAAACTGAAGATTGATTATATGTTTGCAAAATGTATTTTCAGGCTTGGTCATATGCCACTAACTGCTAGATAGATTACATATGACCCAACCGATTCTTTAGCTTGATATGACTCAATTTTTCAACTGCTCCAAGGCAGTCAAATATTCTTCTCAAGTCAAATTCTTCCAGACAGTTAAAAGAAAAAAGAAGAGTGACTCCAGACTTTCTCTATATATGAAAAAGAGAAAAAAAAAAAGACACCTACAAATCTTCCCTTAGAGCACTGTGCTGTGCCAAGCAGGAAAACATTGACACAAGACGGACCCTACTGGTCAGTAACTCCCCCCACTCAGCATTTCATTTCAGTCACCGTTACAGGATGATGGTTCACATACAAAGTTGACTGGAAAATTAAAGAAGTGGAAAGGCAATAAAAATAAATATGGAGAAAAAAATATGTCATTCAAATTCTAAGCTTTTCATGAACAGCAATGGGGAAAGCATTCAAGTTCCCTAAAACTCAGCAAAGATTGAATTTTTATAAAACCAGCATCAATACTTTCTAGTCAGTGTCAGCCTGTCAGACTAGCACAGCATATTGATTTGACTATAACTGATATAACTACAACTCTGCTTCCCAGGTCACGACGCTGTAGCCAGGACTCATGGTAGCTTTAGAGAAATTAAATAAGCTTTATCTTCTTCTGTCTTTGTTAACCTCTGTTAAACAATCATATCTCCTTTATCTTTTCCTAAGGCACTATTTCTGTCTACTTAACCGAAAGATAGTCTATTTGCTTAGTTGTTAAGTTATACTGTTTCCAGTTTATTGGACTTTGATGATTGATGTTTCAAATCCTATGTCTTTGTCCAAAATAGGAATTGTTTTACTGAGTCATAAAAGTTTAAAGAGCGAAAACAGATACTCTTATCTGTGGATGATGCTAAGAGAAAAACAACTTAAATTTTAATGGGAAAAGGTAAAGCAATTGTCAAAGAATGGTAAGAACAATGATTGAATAAATATACGAGAAGCTAAAAACATATAGTAAAGAAATTTTTTAAATTGCTACTTACCCTTAGATCTTCCTTCGTATTGAAGCTATCAAGAAGTTGTTGGTAATGTCTATCGGTCATCTGTCGTAATAAGGACAGGAGACAAGCAACAAATTCTCCCTTAAAAAAAATTTTTTTTTCTTTTAGTATGGTCAGGAAAAAAAACCTTCCATAGCTTACCTTGAACTCTCTTCAAAAAGAACACAAACAGGCATGAAAAAGTTATAACGCTCTATGAAGTCTTTTTATCTTCAGTTTTTATTTCTTTTAAGATCCATCAAAATTTCTCCATGATGATTACCATTTACTGACACAGGCAATTCCCCCCACCCCTTTTTTTTGTGTGGGAGGTGGTTGGGTGTCTGCAGGTTGGGGGATGGGGGGAGGGAATAAGATAGCATTAGGACACATTCAGCAGTGCTCAGGAGCTATTCTGGCTCTGTGCTCAGGGGACTAGAAGTGGTGCTGGGGACTGAGCCATGGTCAGCTACATGGAAGGTTTGACACATTTTATCTTATTTTACTTTGACTTCACCAGGAGGAGGAAGTAGTACTAAAAATATTGAATGGTAATAGAGTATTCATGATACCTCATCAGTAACAGCACTATAAACCATACCATGAAACTTTATATATATATGTATGTATGTGTATGTATATGTATATATGGGCTGGAGCGATAGCACAGCAGTTAGGGCATTTGCCTTGCACATGACCAATCTAGGTTTGATTCCTCCATCCCTGTCAGAGAGCCTAGCAAGCTACCAAGAGCATCTCACCCGCATGGCAAAGCCTGGCAAGCTACCCGTGGCGTATTCAATATGCCAAAACAGAAACAACAAGTCTCACAATGGAGACATTACTGGTGCCCACTTGAGCAAATTGATGAACAATGGGAGGACAGTGCTGCAGTGATAACCCATCAGTAACAGCACTATAAACCATACCGTGTAACTTTATATATAATGTATGTGTATGTATATATATGTGTGTGTATATATATATATATATATATATATATATATATATATATATATATGGGCTGGAGTGATAGCACAGTGGGTAGGGTGTTTGCCTTGCACGTGGCCGACCTGGGTTCAATTCCTCCATCCTTCTTGGAGCGCCCAGCAAGCTACCGAGAGTATCCTGCCCTCACAGCAGAGCCTGGCAAGCTCTTATAGAGGCCGTGGGTGGAAAGCAAATGCCAGGCAGTGGGGAGGTGGAGAGGAGTGAACACTAGTAAAGGGATTGGTAGTGAAACAATGTATGTCAAAAACCCAATCATAAACAACTTTGTAATTTCATAGTAATAAAATAAATAAATAAAAGTAATAAATACCATTTAAAATAAAAACAGAAATTTATTTTCCCACTCTTCTGGGGGCTAACCAATGCATTTTAAGAGGGGAGGCGTATTTTAACCTGGGAACTAGGGAACTAACTCTATAAACTGAAGACAATGAGGAGCCCCAATCATTTAATGGGCCTTTCCTGTGGTATCACTCACTATAGTGATTAAACCCCATTATCAATGCTATGAGTTAGGTGCTTTAATACGTATTTTGAAAAGGTGAATTTTTGGTTCATGTAAAAAGTTACAAGGCTTGCTCAAAGTTACACTGCTCAAAAGTGCTGAGTGGTTTCTGCAGGTCTTTCTTACTCCAAAAGAGTCACGCTCCAGCTCTGAATTCATATTGTTCTCTAATTCATTAGAGTGCCTGGCAGCTGATTTGCAGGGTGTAGAGAAAGTCACACCCTGGATAGTGCTGATTTCAATTTCTTTCAAAAATTAGGTTAGCTTAATTCTGATCCATTATGTGCTTGGATGCTACACAGATTAAAGTTCAATTCTTAGAAATTAATAATGAAAAAGAAAAATATACACATTTTTGTAAAATTGAAGACCTGTTAAAACAGTTACCACTTATGTCTCCAATGCACTTCTAATTTAAAATCAGTTAAACTTCAGTGGTTCAGCAAATTTATCTACTTTTATTTAGAATAGTAAGATCTAAAATAATACAAAAGACAACAAGAAGTAATTGTTGGTAAGGCTGCAGAAATACAGTTTAACTGGGAACTGATTTCCTTTTGTTTGAAAGTAATGGAAAGAGATTATAAGCATACATGCAACATTAGAGTCCATAAGCCATCAAGGTTTTTTTTTTAACAGAGGATCTTCTGTAAGAATAGTCAAAGATATCTCTACTATCTGCCAAGGAAGACATGAAGATACTACTTAATGGCTGTATCAGAGTAGGAGATGCAGGTTAGCCTCTTATTATGTGTATAATTTGTACTAGAGTTATAACTACACACTTAGATGAAGAAATGGTTTGTTTTTTTAAAAAAACCTAAACTGTAGGGTTAGCAGATTTATTTCTAAGTCTAACATTTTACTTTATTAATAAACAAAAAAATTTTGAGACTTTAGAAGTTAAGAAAATCAAGTTCTTAACAAGATAAAATTCATTTAAAAAAACCATCAGGCATACAAAGAAGCAGAAGAAAATCATGATGTAAATAAATAGAAAAATGTCAAGCAATAGGAAAAGGCTCAAGTGCACAGGTCATAGAATTAAAGTTCAAGGATGTTCAAGTACCTATTATTACTGTATGCTGTATATTCAAAAAGCTAAAGGGAAAATGGTGAAATAAAAACATGAAAAATATCAAAAGGACGCAATCTGAACTTCAAAAGAAACGACTATGTTTTTGAGTAGTCTTTTCAAACTAGATTAGATTAAAATCCACATTAAAGGGAGGAAGAAAAGAATATAAACTTTTTAATGATGACTCCATACCAGCACATAAAACAATATCTTAGGTACAGAAGAACTGATTCAAAGCTCATAGTAACTACAAAGCAAAAAATGGCTATATATATATATATATATATGCATATATATACAAAGAGAGAGAGAGAAGAAAATTGAGAATATCACAGAAAAAACAGCCAAATGAAAGAGTATGGAAAAATCATAGAAAAAGAAGTAACAGGAAAATATAAACAGAAAATGATATGACAGGCTAGCAGTAATACACTCATATTTAAATAATCACACTAAAGGTGAATGGTTTGAATTCCCCAGTCAAAAAACATATAGTGTTAAAAGGAGAGAGAGAACAAAGGGGAATGCCCTGCCACAGAGGCAGGGTGAGATGGGGGGGATGGGGGGCGGGAGGGATACTGGGATCCGTGGTGGTGGGAAATGGGCACTGGTGGAGGGATGGGTATTAGATCATTGTATAATTAAAACCCAAGCACAAAATTTGTAAGTCTACAACTGTACCTCATGGTGTCTCACTAATAAAAATTAAAAAAAAACATAGTGTTTTATGAACTGAGAAAAAGAGAGGGAGAGAGAGAGAGAGAGAGAGAGAGAGAGAGAGAAGCATGGGGGAGAGAGAGACAGAAGAAGAGGGAGAGGGAGAGGAGGAAAGAAAGAGAGGGAGAGGGGGATGGGGGAGAGAGAAAGAAAGGGGAGGGAGAGAGACAGAGAAAGAGGAGAGAGAGAGAGAGAAGGATCCATCTCTGAAGGTACAGGCAGAGGAACAAAGGCATGCGGGGCCGAGATCTCCAAGCCTACTCGGATTGGGGCCGGGCATCCTCCACCCAGATCCTCCGAATTCCAGTAGGCAGGGGTCACACCCACCAACTGGCCCCCTGGTGCCGTGTAATCCCATCAACGGCCAAGACCCAGAGACTATAAATCCCAGCTCTGGAAGCGCGCGGCTGCATTTGAGGCTGTGCGACATCTTATTATCTCATTCTTACTTTGGACAAACTGGAAGGCTACTGAATGTAACCTGCCCACACGGCAGAGTCTGGCAAACTCCCCGTGGCGTACCCAATATGCCAAATACCAGTAACAATGATGGGTCTCATTCTCCTAACCCTGAAAGAGCCTTGAATATGGCACTTTTTAAAAAAATCTCAGGGCTAGGACAAAGGAGTTGTTACTGGGGCCTGCTTGAGGCAATCAACGAACAACAAGATGGTCGTGATCGTGATCATGTCATTAATACATATGTATCACAAAATGCATACATATATATGTCTGTGTCTGTCTGTCTATCTATCTATCTATCTATCTATCTATCTATCTATCTTTCTATCATCTATCTATCTATCTGGGGCTGGAGTGATAGCACAGCGGTAGGGCGTTTGCCTTGCATGCAGCCAACATGGCCGACCCGAGTTCGATTCCTCCGCCCCTCTCGGAGAGCCCGGCAAGCTACCGAGAGTATATCGCCCACACGGCAGAGCCTGACAAGCTCCCCGTGACGTATTCGATATGCCAAACACAGTAACAACAAAGTCTCCAATGGAGACGTTACTGGGCCCGTTCGAGCAAATCGATGAACAACGGGAGGGCCTTTACCTTTACAACTATCTATCTATCTATCTATTGATCTATCTATCTATCTATCTATCTATCTATCTATCTATCTATCTATCTATCCACATCTAGCCTTGTGTGTGTGTCTGCTTAAGAACATAAGGCTGAAAAAATGCAGCATCAATAGTGAATCCTGAGCCAGAGAGACATGTAGTGGGTAGTGTAGTTTGCCGGGCATGTGTCCAATCCAGGTGTGATCCCCAGTACTACATATGATCTCCCATACCTACCAGGAGTGATCCCTGAATACAGAGCCTGTGTAAGCTCTGAGTACCACCACGTGTGGACCCAAAGTCAAAGCCAAATGTTCCCAGCCCCCAAAAGAAAAAGAAATCCATTCAAATTTCTATCTCTTAGTTTTTCTATATCCAATCTACACTATTTCTAATTCAGCTACTTAAATTAATATAGTGATTAATATTTATTTTAACATACAATCATGTTCATAGGAAACACTGAATTTTGAAGAATTAATATATTTTCATTAAATCTAGTAATAAAATATGTTCAGTAATGAACAGACTTTCAGTAAGTATAGTTCATGTACACAGAAAATGTTTCTCTCAATCTAGGTTATTAACTATTTAAATCTGTCCTATGTGGCTTTGGGCCACTAGAAACAACTTATTCTGCCATCTATCTGATCTCTGACACATATATGACAGGTTGTCAATCCCAACACCAGGTCTCCAAGGTCACTTTATTTATGCATTTTAT